AGAGCTCTTGGACATACCAAAAAAATGTGGTAATGGACGAAAACCGGAATTTTTCACCAAATTTTGTCAACATTTCATTAATTTTTTGAAAAAGATAAAAACAATAAAAAAGTACATGTATTATTAGTAAATTATAAGGATATATTGCAAAGAAACCTGTACAAAAGCTGTACAACTTCTGTGTTGATTATTTCTATAGAACGTCAAAATATGCTGTAATACTTTTTTTCATCCTTATTTGAACGCATCTCCATTGATGTTTTTTCAAAATTTGAAAAGAGTACTCTTTGATAGAGCTGTTGCAATATTTTTGTCACCTTCTAAATATCTTGCAGTGAAGAACAAGTTTTCGAAGCATGTATGAGATGGGTCAAGCATGATGTAGAAAGAAGAAAGGAATTCTTACCTGAATTGCTCTCTTTAGTACGACTGCCATTACTGTCACCTTTGTATATAACAGATAGAGTAAGAAACGAGGATCAGATTAGATATTCCATACAGTGTCGGTAAGAAGACTGTAATATATTTCATGTGTGAAAGTCAACAACCATTTTTCGCAGTGATCTTGTGGATGAAGCGTTAACATTTCACTTAATCCCAGAAAGGAGAGCTCTGATACAAAGTTTTCGAACTGAACCAAGAGTGTGCGACATCAAAGGATATATTTATGTCGTTGGAGGTCTCAACAGGCATGGTGATTCTCTTTCTACCGTTGAGTATTATGATCCTAAAATTGATAAATGGAACATGGCGCCGCCAATGTCCATGATGAGATCCCGCCTGGGCGTGGCAGTGCTGAAAAGTAAACTGTTTGCTTTTGGAGGTTATAACGGAAAAGATAGATTATCCAGCGTAGAAGTTTATGATGCCATCAGGAAGGAGTGGTCAACCGTCACTCCGATGATTTGTAAAAGAAGGTATGTTTGTTTTTATTTCGGATATGTTATTTTTGATGTTTTTTGTATCATCAATTTTTAGTGCTCTAGGTGCTACAGCTTTGGGTGATATTATTTATGTATGCGGTGGGTACGATGGTGTAACTTCTTTGAACTCTGTAGAAAGGTATCATCCAGCAACGAGTTCATGGTGCTCCTTGGCTCCTATGAACAAATCAAGAAGTGCTGGTGCCGTCATAGCGTGTCAAGGTCATTGAGAGTGCATTTTTTGAAAGCTTAGTACTTGAAAATTTACTTTTTTAGGATTTATTTATGCTCTCGGAGGACACGACGGGCTCTCAATATTTGATTCAGTGGAACGTTATAATCCAGCTACCAATACGTGGATGGAAGCACCTCCAATGCTCACTAAAAGGTATATTAATGCGTAAGACATTGGAGTAGTCCTCATGAATAATGAAATAATCAACGATATCAAAAGAAAAAATAGAATTTTTAGAAAACTGAAAACTACAGACTCAGGTATTCTCAAAGAAAATTTCCGATCCCTTCGTCGATCCATAAAAACAAAAATAAATTTAGCATACAGAGAATATGAAAATGAATCTGGTACGACCAGAAATTGGTCGTACCAGATTTATTTTCATTCAAAATAAGAAAGGTACATTTATGTCCAACAGGTCATTTGATACATATCCATCATTCAATTTCATACAATTTATGTCTGTTGAGATGGGACTTGAGATTATTTCATTGACAGTTTCCCACAATACCTTTGAGTTCTCTTTGTTTGCCTGAATTTTATTTTTGTAGAAGTCTATTTTTGTTTTTTTAATAAGTTTATCTAGACTTTTTTATATTCTGTATACTCTAACTGAAGTGTTTTACTATTTGGATCTTTTTTTAATTTGTAATACATGTGATAAATAACCTAATAACTTGTTCACCATTGACGAGTCAATTCATGAAAATCCATCTTTTTTCAATAGTTGGATTTATGAAAAAACTGTTCAAAAAATTTTTCTTGTACCCTTCAAGACGAATAGAAAAGGTATTTTGATTGTCTGTATTTAATCACGGGTACAATTAATATTGTGAAAATTTAGTATCAGTTTACTTATTTCCTTCAACACTAATCATTGACCAAATTATTGTGGATGACACATACAGAGACACGAAAGAATTGAAAAAAAAATCAAAAGTGCTAATGCCCATGTATTGGGAACTTTTGTTGAAAGCACAATGTTCATTTTACAAATGAGCAGTGGGTTCATATGGGTTGGGTTCTCAAATTTATCTACCTTCTTTTTTCTACTACTTGGGAACCCTCTGAATTCA